TTCAGCGAGCTATGCAGCGGAAATGGGTCTGCGACTTTGTTTACTGGGAGATACCGAAGTGCTGTCTGACGAGGGTACGGAATATGGGCATATATGGAGCTTGTCTAACACTGGGAGCCAGTTGGAGCCACGTGGAGTAGGAGGAAAAGGAAGGGGAATTTACGAATAGGGTACACCTAGCCAGGGGGGGGGGGGACGAACGCAGCTTCGGATGGTGCCACCTGAATTGAAACAATTAAGGGACTGTAAATGAGCAGGGTGCTGGTCAAGAAAAATTGAATGTGCCAGGGTGCACTTGAAAGCATCAAGGTAGTGTTGCAGAGTGGTAGTGGATGCAGCAGCATACAAGTCTAGTTTTGAGATATAACGATCAGTAGGAAATATGATGCGCAGGGTACGGCGATGGAGAACTTCTAATAGATGATATGCCAAATAAGCGCTCGAAAAGTTAAGAGGGCATGCGATTGATGCGCCCAGGCTTAGCTTGTCAAGTGCAGGGGATGTGCAAAGTACACGGATTTTAGGCTTGTTGCGCGCTTACGCGATCAGGTGCTGCACGTGCATGAATGGAATGCATGCAGTTCCACAGTTACCGCATTTTAGGAATCCGTCGGAGAAAATTTTCGGATAGAGAAAAGGAACTCTGACACCTTTGTGCATAGTTTGCTTTCAATTTTTCATTTTGATACCCGGATATGGCAGCAAGAAATAGTACACCAGCAATTGCTTCTCGTTTTGCGAACCCACCTGTGGGCGAAACGATTGCTAGATGGACTTTTGCTCAGCTGAAGACTTACGTGAGTGAGAGATACCGGTAGATTGAAAGCGAGATGATTTGTTGCAGAGGTAAGACCGAAAGATTTTATTTTATTCCCAACGCCCCAGGACAGGGGACAATGATGGCAGTCGGCGCCGAGCAGTGAAAGGGCGATGAGAATCCGTTCCTCCTTCACTGGTCGCTACAGCAGCAAATACCTTGACACCATCTGCATCGGGAACAGAAGAAGCTGCTTCTCCCGTGAAGAAAAAAACAGACGCAGAATTTCCCGCCGAGGCCTGGACCCATCGCTCGGAGGATTAGCTATGGGGTGTTTCTGCTAGTGCTGTACTCCAGCATCTTCAGAATCAAGAAAGGTACCTAACGACACAGAAACCATTCGGGGATGAGTCCTTCTTCTCGCCATTCGTTTACAGTGTTGAGTGTTGCTTCCCAGAGCCAAATAATTCTGGACCGCAGAGATACTTTGTCAAGGCTAAGTGTTGGGCATCTCAAAAGAAGAAGGAGAGCTAAGTGTGTGCTACAGTGCTAAACTAGAGAAAAGCATGTACTCGAAGTGATGTCTGCATATTGCACTTGCACTGCAGCATTGCATGCGCCTTCCACCACATAGTCATTGTTGTATTGCTGCTGACCCTCAACTATTGTGAGATGAAAGGTCAATACCTGGCATATGCAGCCTAGCAACAACAGCAATGGGGTCCAATGGCCAAAGAACGTAGTTATGAAAACCCCTTATCAACCACCTGGGCATACTGACACTGGCAACATTGATTTGCCTTTGTACTGGGAAATCCCGCCTTCCTTATCCCACATCACAGAGAAGGTGCTCCTAACAGAGGCAATGGCAATAGAGCGCCGTACCCAACAGCAGATTGGCAGCGGCATATGGCATATTATAGGCTGAGAAGCAAGACCCTGACTGCTTCGCGGTTTCACCTCATCCCTTACCCGAGTGAGATCACATCAGCGTTTCTTCCGTCATTGCTCCAGGCAACCAGTTTCTTATGTGCTTTCGCTATTAGTCAGGGCCAGCACAAATAGGAGTTCAAGTGTTCTACTTGTATTTGTATTGTATTTATTATTTTACTAGGGCAATCCCTGCAGACAATACGCCTTTTTACAGGGTGCTCGAGGTAAGTGGGTAAAACAAAGTTGAATGAAAAACCGAGGCTGCATACTACGCCATTACGTATTGCTAAGGAGGTTTGAAATCTTTTTTTCTCACGATGGCCTGTGGCCAATAAGAGAGGTTACGTAGAAGGTTGTTATAACATAACAGCCTTCTACGCAGCCTCTGCGGCATGACGAAGGAGGCTGCCTAGCAGCACCCCGATGGAAGAAAACTCCAGCTATCAGAGACCAGGTACCTGTATGTTTTGCAAAGAGAAGCCATGTCGTGAAGAAGCATTAGGTAGGGCTAAAGCGAGGGTGTATCCCCTGGTCAAGGCTTCCGTAGCCAGCGTAGGGTGAATATTTGACCTAAAAACAAAGGAAACTCTGCAAATAAACTGTGGCGGCCATGCACACATTTATAAAACAAGGCAAAAGAAGGCGAAATAATTATTATAAGGTTATAATGGATGGCGACTGGAATATTTTGTGGCGGTGACAAATGGTGGCTGCTGGGTAGCCAAATAAGCGTCGAATGAGTGTGTTGTGCAAGGTTACTGATATAATGCCTTGTCTTTGAATCTTGATACTAGAACTCCATACATGCGACTGTTACTGTGTTAGTCATTTCGCTCAATCTTGCTACTTTATTCTTGCAGTCACCCAGATTGCATTGAATACTGTCGAATGCTTCCTCCAGCGTAGGGACAGGATGCCTGGGATATCACTAGGTATGAGTCGTATGATTGTCTTCAGGCAGCTCCTGTGCAGTAGCTCGCGACACGAGGCAGAGCGACGCCGGTTAGCATCAGCCGCTGTTGTCTTGGTGGACCAGATTGAAAACTCCAGATACAAAATGTTTTACCAGTCTTGCTCTGGCGATTTTCTCCCCTTGTACGTAATCTTCTGGCAAGAAATGGTCAGATCACACCACTGTAGTGTCACCTTTTTTTTACTCTCCTTCTCTTTCCTCCCTTCGAATAGCAACAGTTCATTTCCTTCACAGTTCAGGATGATGGAAATTTATGAAAAAGACTAATACCATTTTGCTGGGGCCGGGGAGTAACGCCGGTCACCAGTACATCCTGAACACAGCAATGGTCATGGTTGGTCGGTATCCGAAAATAAGACAGCGAAAAATCACTCCAGCCGCTATCAAGCAAGCAAAACTGTTTCTTCTATCCAGATTTACAGCTTTAATTTTTCAGTAATCTCAAAGCCGAAGGAAGTGCTAAAACTAGTAACGGTGGAACTGCATGCATTCCATTCATGCACATGCAGCACCTGATCACATAAGCACGCGACAAGCCTAAAATCCGTGTCCTTTGCACATCCCGTGCACTTGACAAGCTAAGCCTGGGAGCATCAATCGAATGCCCTCTCAACCTTTCGAGGGCTTATTTGGCATATCATCTATTTACCTATGTGGGTTTTGCGGACCAGGCAGGGAAGCCGAACGTGAAGAGGGGGAAGAATGTATTATCGAGAGTATGGTACACACTGTAAAACTATCGATATCAGATACCATCAATGGCGCAGAATATTCGGAATTTGAAAATTCCTAAAAAACCTGGTCTACCGCGTCTTGTCTTGTCACCAGGGAGTCGTAAAATACCGGTATTTTACGACTCCCTGCTTTATTCCACGGCCGAACATCGTCTAGCTCTTGAGCTGATGTTGGATTTTTTTTCTTTATCTTGACCTATATTAGCGACAATTGAAACTTACTTATTCTGCTCGCAGCAGATTGTTTGTCAATGTAAATCAAACTGTTTTACCACTTCACCCGCCAACACCCGGAAAACCTCAATAATATCAACATAGTTCCATCCAAGAGTGCGCGACGTCCTCACTTTTACGTCCTGCCCAGTCACACCGGTCCCTATTTTGGCTCCACTCTACTCTTTTTTGTATACTTTATTTGAATTCGCTAATCCAAACGAGCACAAATGCTCTAATGCATTATGCACAAATATTTTATCTTACTCTGACCATTCGGCCTTGGAGACCAGTTCCGGTTCTTGACCCAACCGGTCAATCCTGACCGACGAGTTCACCGGTGGCGGTGGAGGCTGCGCTCTCCGGCCGACCTCAACGCGTTGTCACAGTACACCATCAGCAAAACGACACTTCAGTTGATGCGCCAAGATGCACCATTATGTTTCCCCCCTTTTTGCGCCTAAGATGCATCATTATGTTTCCCCTTTTTTTGCTACAAAAGGATGAAGTCCACTATTTGTTACCCATTCTACATTATAAACCTTCACTGACGAGATCCTGATGATCGAAACAGCTGCTGTCTGAAGGAGCAGAGTACCAACTGAAGTGTGGTGTGGTGGTTGATAAGAATTATATTCTTTTTATTTTAATTAAAGTGGAGAGACCGTTTTTGGAGTTTAGAGTTGAAAATCTATAAATACAATTACAGAAGTGAAGTTTCATATATTTCATGTGCAAGTTGCTGCATTGGAGTTTGCCAACAATTAGATAAAACTATAATTATTTTCAGAATATAACAGAGGTTCCAGGCTGTCCAAGAGAGTGCTCAATACCGAGAGGCAGTGCTAGTTCAAACAAGAACGAGAGGACGAAAACAGTGTTCTGAAAACACTTTTTTCGCCCTCTTCTTATCCATCAGCACTCACCCTAAGGCCGGAGATTGGCACCCACTGGGCTAGCATCCAGCAGCCAAGATGTGGAGCCATGCATCATTATGAATATTACAATGGTAGATAAACAACAGAGAGAAACACACAACACTTTTTTTAGAATATCGATCATAGTACTATTGTATACGGTAACAATGCCAAGTTAGCTGCAAGTTAGGACCAAATCAAAGGCAACCCAAACAGTCCATGCATCATGTAATACAACAGTGTAACACACAAGTAAAAAAACGATCAGAATGTACCAATCAGAATATGCAACATCACAACGGGACCATCAGTGGCAATACGTGAGCAAACTCTCCCTTGATGATAATATCAAAGGTGATAACGATAATAGGAGGACAACTGTGCCAGTTGTAGTGGATACTGTTACACTGTCCATGGCTATTGAGTAGTTTCTTGAAACTTCTAATTATATTTTGTGTCCCATACATGCACAGATATCTTGAGCACGCAGTCTCACTCAACCTTCGCTTGTGTGCTTTCAAGTTCCCGAAGGACTTTTCACAAGGCCATATCTTATATGGAGCTCGTGTAAAGAATTATATTGCTTCATGTAAGTAACCCCTTTATACCACATCACACATTCCAGGGCTTACCGTTGAACTTTGCACATTCCCTTCGTGCACACTTATTGGTCTCCTTACAGCAAACAGTATCTACTGAAAACAGCATGTTCTTGTTTGAAAGTACGAACAAGTAATTATTCATCCTGAAGCTATGCAAAAGACAATACTTAGCGTCTGGTGTTAGCCAGGGTTCATACAGATATCGGTGTGATGGCGTGTGTTTCTGGCTTTGGGCATGCCAACCAGAACAACAACAACCCATCCTCTGTCGACCAAACTCTCTCTCTCTCTCTCTCTATCTCCCCTCTCTCTCTCTCTCTCTCTCTCTCTCTCTCTCTCTCTCTCTCTCTCTCTCTCTCTATCTATCTATCTACCTCTCTCTCTCTCTCTCTCTCTCTCTCTCTTTCCTCTCCCTCTCCCCCTCTCTCTTTCTCTTTCTCACTTGATCTCCCTCCCTCCCTAGCTGCATTCCTATCGATGCCTGGCCGTAGGCTATGGTTCGGAGACCTCCAGTCGGATGAGCCTCGCCAACCACATCGGCACATCGCCCCTACTCCCCTTGTCTTGTTGTCCAGTGTCACTTCAGTTGTCCTCTTCCCCGGATTATTAGTAGGGCTGTGTTTTTTAAGACCACTACTTCGTACTGCTGTGTTTTTTAGTAAAAAAAAACCTGAACTAGCACTCACGCCAGCTTCACTGCATCCGGCGCACTTGTATTGTACCCGAGCTCAGTTGTTATCCAGGGAGTGCAGCCGAATTGGTGCTCTGTGTATTTGTGAGTGGTTTGTTCATGGGCCGCTTGCTCGGACACGATCGAGAAAAGTGCTCCCCCATGCAGATCATGCAGGTGGCCCTCTGGTCCTCGTGACCGACACGAAACTGGTGCCGGTCGGCTGTGCGGACAAGTGACAAAACTTGCCGATATCCCCCCTTCAGCTCGATGGTGGCGAATCGCATACCTGTCCCTACAGTAATCTCCGACGGGTTTGAATTTGACCATGGCGGATGTCGCCCCGGATCTGGCCGAATGCAGCCAAAGCACTGCAGATAACGATATTCTCGATCCAGATCGGGACATCAAAGATATGGAGTTGTAGTTGTTTGGTGAATGCAGGGCGTACAGAGAAATGGCTGTCGCCGATAAAAAAAAAACCGTGCCCCAGCAGTGCGTCAGTCTGCGTAGCAGATAATAACGATACCTTTGTGAGGTTGGAATTGGTAATCTGGACGGAGGCGACGTTCGTGTACCCTTGGGTTACAAGGGCCTCGGCAACATCCACTGTCTTGATACCGGCGTGACTTGTGGAAACTATGGTGTTGGCCTTCATATTCTCTCGGGTAAGAGATTTCCACCATGGCTCGCCATTTCCGGCATCAGTACTAATGTTGCGCTCCATGGTTGGGGTCTGGTAAGCCTCAATCCACAGAAATCTAGGGAAAAACTTGGAGCACCAAAATCTGCTTCCTACTCCTACTCACACACTATTGTTGTTGTTGTTTGAATTCTTTATTCTCACGATGGCACCATCGCCAATAAGAGATAAATTTATGAGAAGGTGAGATTGTGGGTTAAACAGTTGGAAAGTGATTTACATCACGTTAAACTTTACAAGTATGGGAGAAGGTGAGCGCTGCAGGAGCAGATTGAGTTAATCAGCAGTGAGCAGATTTCTTGTTTTGAATTCTTTATTCTCACGATGGCACCATCGCCAATAAGAGATAAATTGATGAGAAGGTGAGATTGTGGGTTAAACAGTTGGAAAGTGATTTACATCACTTTGAACTTTACAAGTATGGGAGAGGGTGAGCGCTGCAAGAGCAGATTGAGTTAATCAGCAGTGAGCAGATTTCTTGTTTGAAAGCAGGTCGGGAGGAGACGTCACGAATGCTAGCAGGGAGGGCATTGTAGTATTCTAGGGACTTGTACAGTGGGGAGTCTTTACAGCGATCGGTTCTGGAGGGTGGGAGGTGCCAAGTGCGTGCGTGTCGAAGGCTGTACTGGGCCGTAACTTGAGCGGGGTTGTTGAGCAAGCGTATGTGTTGTGGGGCATATTGGTATTTTATGGAGTGAGCAAGAAGGGTGAGCTTCACTTTGCGGCGAGAGAACATTGTCGGCCATTTGAGCCGATGGAGCAGTGTTGAATGATCCAGAGGAGTGTAAAGGGGGAGACGGAGGCAGATTCTGGCCGCCTTGAGCTTTATTCGCTCAAGACGGTCAAGGGCTGCGATTGAGAGCGGGGTGACAGCAATGCATGCATATTCAATTATAGGCAGGATATACGTTTTGTAAATGAGAGAGAGTGATTTAGTGTGTAGAGATGATTTGAGCCTAAAGAGAATATTAAAAGATTTTACGGCTTTCTTCAGCACAAAGTCAAGGTGGGCTGACCATCTTAGGTTGTTGTTGTTGTTGTTGTTGTTGTTGTTGTTGTTGTTGTTGTTGTTGTTGTTTTTGTTGTTGTTGTTGTTGTTGTTGTTGTTGTTGTTGTTGTTGTTGTTGTTGTTGTTGTTGTTGTTGTTGTTGTTTCAAATCTTTATTCTCACGATAGCCAGTGGCCAATAAGAGATAATAGTGTAGGAAAGGAGAAAAAGTGAGGAAGAATTGGGTGGGCAGGGCCTAGGGGTTAATGACTACTTAAGTGTACGGGCAGGGGTGGTCGCCACACGAGCATACAGAGTTGCGTACTTAAGTGTACGGGCAGGGGTGGTCGCTACACGAGCATACAGAGTTGTGCAACAGCAGGGATATCTCGGATTTGAAGGGAGTACGAGAAGGGATTTCGCGAAGCTGGGTGGGCAGGCAATTAAAGTAATGAAGGGCCTTGTACAGGGGAGAATGGAGACAGCGGTCAGTCCGCGGAGTTGGCAAGTGCCAAGTACGAGAGCGACGTAAATTATACGAAGGTTGCACGTTGCTAGCAGTATGCAGCGAGAGTATATGTGGTGGGGCATAATTGTGGCGCAGAGAATGCGCGAAGAGTATATGTTTAACTTTAAAGCGTGAAAATAATGTTGGCCATTTGATGCGATGCAAAAGGTGGGAGTGTTCTAAGTGTGTGTAAAGGGGAAGGTGGAGACATATTCTGGCGGCTTTCCGCTGGAGTCGTTCTAGCCTGTCAAGGGAAGTGTGGGACAACGGTGTGAGAGCATTGCTCGCATATGAGAATATAGGTAGTATGTATGTCTGATAGATGTGAGATAAAGAATCACTGGTGAGTGTGGACCTTAGTCTAAAAAGAATATTGAAAGACTTGAGTGATTTTTTGACTATGTATTCAACATGCTCCGTCCAACGGAGGTCATGCTGAAAGATTATTCCGAGGTGTTTGTGTTTTTGTGCTACGGTGAGCGGACTATTCCTGAGGGTGATCTGGGGTAGCTGTTCAGGGGGGCGGTTATTGTGGTAGACGTGTTGTTGTTGTTGTTGTTGTTGTTGTTGTTGTTGTTGTTGTTGTTGTTGTTGTTGTTGTTGTTGTTGTTGTTGTTGTTGTTGTTGTTGTTGTTTTTTGTTGTTGTTGTTGTTGTTGTTGTTGTTGTTGTTGTTGTTGTTGTTGTTGTTGTTGTTGTTGTTGTTGTTGTTGTTGTTGTTGTTGTTGTTGTTGTTGTTGTTGTTGTTGTTGTTGTTGTTGTTGTTGTTGTTGTTGTTTCAAATCTTTATTCTCACGATAGCCAGTGGTCAATAAGAGATAATAGTGTAAGAAAGGAGAAAGAGTGAGGAAGAATTGGGTGACCAGGGCCAAGGGTTTAATGACCTTAAGTGTACGGGCAGGGGTGGTCGCTGCACGAGCATACATAGTTGTGCAACAGCAGGGATATCTGGGATTTGAAGGGAGTACGAGAAGGGATTTCGCGAAGCTGGATGGGCAAGCAATTTAAGTAATGAAGGGCCTTGTACAGAGGAGAATGGAGACAGCGGTCAGTCCGCGGAGTTGGCAAGTGCCAAGTACTTTAAAGCGTGAAAATAATGTTGGCCATTTGATGCGATGCAAAAGGTGGGAGTGTTCTAAGTGTGTGTAAAGGGGAAGGTGGAGACATATTCTGGCGGCTTTCCGCTGGAGTCGTTCTAGCCTGTCAAGGGAAGTGTGGAACAACGGTGTGAGAGCATTGCTCGCATATGAGAATATAGGTAGTATGTATGTCTGATAGATGTGAGATAAAGAATCAATGGTGAGTGTAGACCTTAGTCTAAAAAGAATATTGAAGGACTTGAGTGATTTTTTGACTATGTATTCAACATGCTCCGTCCAACGGAGGTCATGCTGAAAGATTATTCCGAGGTGTTTGTGTTTTTGTGCTACGGTAAGCGGACTATTCCTGAGGGTGATCTGGGGTAGCTGTTCAGGGGGGCGGTTATTGTGGTAGAACGGGAGGATGACTGTTTTTTTTGTGTTAACCAGCAGGTGCCATCTTTGAAGCCAGTCTCCAGCTGCTGTGACACTCTGTTGTAGGTTTCGGGTGCAGTCTTGAAGAGTTCTCGCTATGGAAATCAGAGCGGTGTCATCTGCAAATTGGCTACAGGTGGTGCCGGGATTCTCACATGCGTGTGGAAGGTCTATGGTGTAGACGAGGAATAGAAGCGGCCCAAGATCAGATCCCTGAGGGATGCCGGCAGGGATCTGGAGGAAAGGCGATAGGTCGCCATCCACCTGGACCCTCTGCCGACGCCCCAACAGGTACCGTCGGGACCACTCCAGGGCGTTGCCCTGGACACCATAGTGGGAGAGTTTTGCTAGAAGGCCTGCACACCACACACGATCGAAGGCCTTGCTTAGATCGAAAAAGCAGGCATTGACGTGTTTCCCGTCGTCTGTCGCAGTGGAGAGGGTATGGACGAGACGGGCAAGTGGCTGCTCAGTGCCGTCTTTCTCACGGAATCCGGACTGCTGGTTGGGCAGGTGGGGTGTGATGTGCTTGTAAAGGAGTTGACGTGCATTTTTTTCTTGGTTTTTTGATGTAGTGCTCAAGAGAGAGATGGATCTGTAATTTG